GGGCACCATCAGCTTTCTTCACCACATTTGCTTATGCACACGTCTGTCTTCAGCGATCATGTCAGAAAGGTGGGTATCATGGAATGACCATTTAGCTGAGCAAGGTGCTCTTGTATTAAGGGAATACGCAGGAGGAGGCCCAACGTCCACCTGCTACCCTACTACTAAACCTATAAATATATGCACATAGGTCTATTTCCCCCATAGTCATAAATATATTTACATATGTACATGTCTATATTTAGGCTTCTATGTATGTCCTTTGCCTCCTACTCCTTTCCGCTATTTCCTTATACTTTCCTCCTGTCCCACTAGCATGTTCAGCCTTCATTCTGGTTTCAGTAATTCCTCTCAGTTACCTTGCCCTTGGTTACTTCCTACCAGTCCTCCTATCCCCTCCCTGCTGCTGGTTTTGACCCATTCATTGTTCCCTTGTCCTTGGGTTGGCCAACACTTCCTCCCTTTCCTTACCTCCCACACTCTCATGTCCCTCTGGGACCGTTGGTCCCGTTACTTTCTTCTGACATTGTTTGTCCAGCCTATCTTATCTAGGTGGACCTGCAGAGATAATAATATGTGCATAAGATTGTGGCTGGCTTCGACAACACCAAAGTGGCACATAGGAACATGGCAACGATGGCAGCAACACCGATGAGCTAACAAACAAAACAGCCACTGAAATACAATATCTAAAAGAAGAGAAAAGAAGAAAAAAACAAAACAACCAAAAAACAAGAAAAAAAAGAAAAGTCTGTTAATAGTTCAAGGTCTGTTTGTTGACCTTTAGGAGTGTTTTCGGGACGAGTCTGATGGGGTGCCACATCCTTGCCCCAAGTCCATCCTCAGGGTTGATATTTTAACAGTGTTTATGCTACATGCCATCATGATAAGAGTTATGGCACAGGTTAAAGGACAAACATAGTGTGTAATTTTTAAATCATATTTTTAATATAAAAAGGAAATAGAGGTCACTATGATCAAACAAGGGTCAAATGAAAGTTTGCCTTATTACCATAATTTTAAACAAACATTTTTATATATGCCAGGCAATGATTATTATGCTCATTTTACAGAGTAGGGGAGAAGATAAAGAAGATAAATATTTGTTTATAAGTGGGAGATCTGTGAATTAAACCAGAACATCTGGCATCAGAAAATGTGTCCACTGTAGTTAAGCCTATGTCAACTAGACACTCCTGGAGGTGGGGGGGGGGAGTCAGACCTGTCAATCAGGTCATAGCCTGATGCTGTGACCTTGGGGGCATGTCCTTGTCCTAAGGGTGAACCTCTCCCACTTCACCTTCCTGCTTGCTGACCCTGAGAGCTGCTGGCACCTTGCCATGTTTCCAACCATTTTAAATCCACACAACTTTGCACCCACCGGCCTGTGACCTTCCTGTATTCTGCATTATTGCGTGTGACTGGGTGAGTCTGAAGAGAGGCTCATGGACTAGTATGGGACTGATGGGCTTGAGTTGGACTTGACTGGGACACTTTCTTGATATAAAACCCCATCTTACACATACTTGAGTGTCACTGGTCAACCCGGCCTAACACAGAATCCTAGAACTTTTTTCATATATATATGTTCTAAAACTATTAACCTCATTAAAAAAAATCCCAACATATTACAGATAAATGAAAATCAGTGTATCTGATGTCGTCCTTCTTTCCTTCCTTGGAAATTATATATTTAGTTATCAACTAAAGTTACTCAATCTTGACATTATTGATTCATTGTGGGAAAATATTCTACACATTGTAGAATGTGTACATCTGCAACATCCCTAATTCTATCCACTA